TTGATTTATATGAACTTTCATTAGTAGGCAAAATTCAATCATAAGGTTTCCTCTTTTCCCCTCTAGGCTTCCTTAAATTCAACACACAGTCAAATGGTGATTGGCTTCCCCTCTCCCTAGGTAATATCCCACCCCCCAGCCCCCCAAAAAAGGGAGAAAAAGAGGAAAATGAAAAATAAGCATGTTAGAAAGGTGGCCAGATAAAATGGTTTGCATGAACAACATAACTTCTGATTTGCTCTCCCCCTGGGACAGCCTAATGCAGCCTCATTCAGATGTGCATTTTCAACATTATTCAACAGAGCCCACTCCGGTCAAAGTAGAGTCTTTTCCTTCACAAGTACAGAGATACAACACTAGGTTTACGGGAGGGCTACTTTCAATCTTCTTGGAGCGGTAATGTGTTTCCATTGCGGTTCCATCTATTTGTGATCTATAATACTTTCCAAATAGCCCCAAATTTCAAAGAAGCTCTAGTTGGTTCCAAATGGAAATAAGATTACATATTTATTATTATTTTATTCTCAAATGTTAGATTTAATTAGGTTGGGAGCATTCATTCATCTGCCCATTGGGTTTGTTTACTTCATTAAGGGACAATAGCAGAATTGAAGGGAACTCATAAAACCACGTAGGGCGCCCCAAACTGCAATTGTTTTTAGCTTTTATAAACCATTAAAATGAAAGTCAAGCACATAAATATATCTGCTATGAAAGGAAGTGATATTGCTAAGTTCCCTGATAGATGATGATAGGACTTCTTGGAATTCGAAGTCCAGTGTTTTAATCTTCAGGCTCTCCCGAGTCATGTGCTTGCCAATGACATTGGACCAGGAATCTCCAGAGGTGAGAAAGCCCTGGCTGACCCCAAACGCAGCTCCTGCTTGGTGAAAGCAGAGACAGGGTGAGGACAGGGACACAGGCAGAGCCCGGACACACTCCAGCTGAGCTGCTCACTTGCCACTCCCAAAGAAAACAGGAGGATCTACCTCTCTTTATGCAACGTCTAAAATTAATTTGGTGCTTAAAATCAGAGGTGGGTCAAGCGGTGGATTACCTGAGGTTGCCTTTGGACTAACAAAGGCATCTCTTCAGTGTGGTGAATTGCTCTGATGGCCCTGGGCCCGGAGCAGTGATTTGAGAAAATCACCCATGGCAACAATTAGGCAGTGAGTCTCCATTGACTGCCAAAATCTCACAGAATATTGGAGGGAAAGAGAATTTATATGTAATCCAATTTAGAGCAACAACAACAACAACATCAACAATTTAATGTTCCCCAGTTCTTTGTGGGAAAACTTCAATCCAGGTTCAAAGAGAGCTGCAAGAACAGTGCAGGTTACACCTAAAGTCTGCATTCACAGGCTGGGCTGGAGTCGCAACTCCGCTGGCCCTCCTGCTGTGCCACACCTTGTACTGCTGTGTGATTTTAGAGGAGGCATTTATCTTGCACAGCCTTAGTTTCCTCATCTGTAAAATTGAGTAGCTACCTTCTAGGCTTTGGGAGAATTCACTGAAAAAAGAATCTTGCCTAGGGCATCATAAGCTCAGTAAATAATAGTTATTATCATTATCATTATCCTCCAGGTAGCTGTGATATGTAGGAGCCCAGAATCAAGTAGCAAAGGAGATAGAGGTAGTTAACTCATCCCTTCTCCAATACAACTGACTGCCCTAATTGCTCGAATAGAAGCTCCACTGTAGGAACACTCGGTCTTGGAGCTCAAGAAAAGACCTACAAGGGAGAACGATAGAGCTGTAATTATCAGCTGAAAGAGGAAGGAAGTTCTAATCTCACAGAGCCCTTGGAGACTTGTGAACACCCGAAGCTTGGAGAAGGCTTCAACAGGGAACAAACGATGAAAGTCACACAAAAATGAACTTAGCAGTGGCTCACGCCTGTAATCCCAGCACTTTGGGAGGCTGAGGTGGGCGGATCACAAGGTCAGGAGATCGAGACCATCCTGGCAAACATAGTGAAACCCTGTCTCTACTAAAAATACAAAAAATTAGCCCGGCGTGGTGGCGGGTGCCTATAGTCCCAGCTACTCGAGAGGCTGAGGCGGGAGAATGGCGTGAACCCGGGAGGTGGAGCTTGCAGTGAGCCAAGATCCGGCCACTGCATTCCAGCCTGGGCGACAGAGTGAGACTCCGTCTTAAAAAAAAAAAAAAAAAAAAATGAACTTAGCAGCAGGAAGGAGCATTCCATGTGCCCCTGCACCTCTCACCGATGGGCTGCAGATATGTGATGGGTGTTTCTGAAATATATGCATCATTTTCCAATGGAAAAACCTCCATATTCACATGAGTGGATGGAGAGGTCATAGTCACTGGTCAAGGAGGCAGAGATGAGTGAGGACAAGTGATAGGGTGAGCATCCTCAATCTGGCTCCACCCTATCTGGTGCCAGACACCTAATGAACCACCCTTACTGGGGGAGACAGGGTCAAGGATGAAGCAATTTCCTCTTCATATCTAGCTATCATTTATTCTACATAGTTCATGTGGCAGGCAATATGCTGGCTGTTTTAAGCAGGTGATATTTCTAATCCCCACAATGGTCCTGAAAGGTAAGTATTATAGAATCACTTATCTGGATAAATAACATGAGGTTCAGAGAGATTAAGTAACTGGCCTAGATGAATAGGTGGGTAGGCAGACAAGTAGGTAGGTAGGTAGATAGATATATAGATTGGAATATATTTTTAAAAATGCACTCTATTTACCCTACATTCCTTCCTTTAGATAGGACTCTGAATGTGGGGCAGGCAGGAGAGCTGTCAGTCACAAAGGGAGCCTGCCCACCACAAGGCGAGTCATGTGACCCAGGCCAGGGAATCAGGTTACCCCACAGGGAGCATCAGTGATTGGCCCAGGGGTAAGCAGGTAGCTCATGTAGAGCCAGAGTCACAGTTCTGAAGTTTTTATGGAAGTTGGAAAGATCTTTTTTGGAAATTACCAACTCCAGAGAGGATGTGAGTCTGGGAGTGCCAGGAGCTTTCTGTGTCACTGGGGAAAAGGAGACTTGATTCTCCGGATATCATTGACCATCTGGGTCCTGTGGTGCCTGATGCTATGGGTCAGTGGTTCTCAAAGTGGAGCCCCCAAAGCAGCAGCAGCAGCCTCATGGCCTTGCTGGAAATTCGAATTCTCACCCCCGCCCCCCAGACTCACTGCATTAGAAACTCTGGAAGACGGAGCTGACTCAATGAGATCTGTTCCCAAGCTCTCTGGATGGGCCTCATACTTAATTCGAAAAGCACTGTTCTAGGTCGATCCACGGAATTGTTAATTTCATGAGCCAATAGATACCCCTTTTCTTGCCTAAACTTTGATTATAATAAAAGAAAAATACGGCAAGATAGTTTTGAGTTTTTTTAATAAAAAATTTACAATTACTTTTTAACCACAAGTAAACTTAATTATTTCACCATTAAAATCTCTTCAACACAGAAATTCCTTTGAGGTTGTTTTTAGTTTTGTTCTGTGTTTATTTGCATGTGAAACAAGATACCCTCTAATGCTTGCAAGAAAGAGGCAATTTGAAGTGAAATAGGCAGATGTACAGTCTGACCCCATAAGTGACCCACTACGGAACAGACAGCTGGACATGTGGACGTATGCAGCTGCCTGTCATTTATACACGAGAGTCAAACAGTTGGCAAAAAGAGTCTGGGCCACAGAGGAGTGAGTTGGCTAGAGGTGTGGATCTAGCCATTGGATAACACTGTACTCAAAACAACACAAAACTCTTATCTAAGAGGAGGAAATGATTGAATACGAAGTATTTGAAGAAAGATTTGAAAGACTGAAAATGAAACACTTTCTTACATTCGCTAAGTGAGCTGGGAAAGAATGACCCTGAAGGGTGATGCGGAGGACCAGAGAATGAAGAAGACAGGGAGTGGAGGGAGAGAGCCCACCTACGCGGCAGCCGGCTTTGCAGAGGCTGCAAACCTTGTGAAGACACAAGGTTGGAGGCCCTGGACTCAAAAAGTTCCTTGAATCTGCCAGTCAAGAGGGTTAGCTGTTTCAGCACAGAGTGGAGCCAAGAGAAAGCTGGAGCATGAATAAGAGATGCTAGGATCAATTGTCCTGGGGCGGGGCGGGGTGGTGGGGAGAGCGATCAGGACTGTGTTTGCCTTTGGACCAGGGCTGCTGAGTGTAGACAGCAGGTGGTTCATGTGAGGCCTGGAGCAGGGGTCGTTGCAGGATACGGGGGTTGCTGTGTACCTACAAATGGAGTGAAAAAGCGAATGTAAAGAAATGGAGAAATTAGAAGATGTGGCATAACCTGTGAATCATTATCCCTGACAAAGTGGGGAGGCTCATGGGTGCAGGGGTGCGTGTGTGTGTGTGTGTGTGTGTGTGAGAGAGAGAGAGAGAGAGAGATCACATGGCTGTGGACAGAAGTGGGCTGGAACGCCTAACTTCCAGGAAATTCCTGGGTTCTTTGCTTCTTCTACCCATAGGTCTGCATTATGTTTTTCTAGGGTCACTCATCTATTCATCCAACAAATATTGAACAAGCACCTGTTACATGCCAGATATTACATACATGTGGCTGTGCACATAACTGTGAGGCTGTGCGCTACAGCTGCAGGGTGAGGATTGGGGCTTCAGCTCCAACCTTGTGCAATGTGGGATCTTCTCCATCGTCATATCAAGCCACCCCACATATGTATTTAATGTAAGTTAGAACACTGTACTTGCTACAAAAGTCAGCTTCAAAAGAAGTCCAGCCGTGGGTCACCACCTCCCTACAAGCTGCAGTCCTAATCTCCTCCTATGTCAAAATCAGAGGCTGCTGCTGCCCTGGGGGGTTTAGAGATGAAGACCCAGACTCTGACTGAGGAGTCTTCCAGTGAAGGGAAAGAGGCGAAAGCTCAGCCACCAGTGACACCACCGAGCTGAGTGGACCGCGCAGAGGGAGATGGAGGCAGGGCACTCCAACGTGGACCTGGCAGGGCACTCCAACGTGGACCTGAGAGGTGCACACTGCAATGCAAATCCTCCACAATAGTCCACAGGATGTACTGGGAGAAACTGGAAGGCCACAGGAGAAACGTTTGCTCAGGGAAACACAGGCATTTCATGTGCCTGGAGCAAGGGATGAAGAATTCCTCAGACTTCGAGTGCCAAGTTGGTGTTTGGACTTTCTTCTAAAGGCCATGGGTGAGCGCTTGGGAATGTGGAGACCACTATGGCCTCCATGGTAGATGGAGAAGGAAACTGTGCCAGGAGCTGGGAAGTCGAAGTTAACCCTCCAGGCTAAATGCAAGTGATGCCTGGGGCTGCATGTAGGGCCGTGCCAGAGGAAATGGGACAGAGACTGGTTTTAGTATAGAAATCCTAACTGGGCTCAGAGTAGGTGTGGGAAAACCCCTGAAAATGTGTGCTGATCTTGATATGTGCAGATATTATTTTCTTCCTGGGGTAAATTTTAATTCTCAAAGGAGTCTGTGACCCCCCAAACATGTCCTCTTCCCTGCTTGAAAGATGCGAGTGTCTAATGGCCAGGAGCTGGTGCTGGTGGGATACCAAGCAGTGGGAGGAACACAGTATCGTCCTCAAGCCTCTGACTTCTCCTAGACAGGGTAGCTAAAAGGACTGCTTTTCAGATATGTTGCTTTTGAGGTATCCATGAGGAGAGGGAGGCAGGAAACGCAGGCCCACACGCTCGCAGTGGACGCGTCTTTAGAAAGCTGCACATCCTCTAATTGAGTTAATTGTTCAAGCACTGAATGGAGCTGTTTCTGCTCAAGCTAGGGAAAGACTTGTCAGCTGTTTCTTCACTTCCCTGACCTTGGAGAATCCGCTGTCTCCACCAGACACTGGTCCTTGGCACAGCGAGTATTTGATACACTTTGCTCAGGAATTTAGACCTCAACCCAGGAAATGAGCTACAGTCTCACCCCAGGCAAGTGCAGAACATTTTCCTAACCGGAGAGACGGCCTGTGTCACACATTCCAAAGGTAGCCAGCAGCTAAGAAAGCCGCAACAAAGGAAATCAAACAGCTCTTTCTCTCCTAAACGCTGCTTTCAGGCAGGTTCCAAACAAAAATGGAGGGTGCGCTGCAAATTAAAAACAACAGCCTGCCAGTCAAAGGCAGTGTTTTTAAGAACAGAAAGAGCAATACCACTGCAGGGGGCAGATAAAAGAGCTTTTGAGCATCTCGGAAGCTGCTCACACACAAAAGCACCTCTGTGCCTTCAAACAGGATCTCCTAGAAGTTTCCCAAGGTTTCATAACCCAAATGCCGCTGGTAGTGATGTGGTTTGGAAATTAACCTTGCTTTTCTCCCCACTGCTGTTTTACATATTAATTAAAGTGTTTTCCTCAGATCAGGAACGCCTGCAGGCTGGCTGGGTTCTACAGAAGGTGCCTCATTTTCCTGCTGCTTCCTGCCCCAGCCCCACTTGTGCATAGTTCAGTGATTAAAACCTCCCCAAGTCAGCTGTAGACGCCTCCCCTCCCCTAACTGCCATCGTGATATAGAACATACACTTTAATGTGGCTTTTAGAAAGTAATCGCTTCCCCACCCCCCAAGAAAGATGGGTCGTGCAGAGCTAATTTCGGGAAGCCATTTGGAAGAAATTGTTGAGAAGGCATCCAAGTATTTGGGTCCAACTCTGCTTACCTCATTCATGGACCTATTTCTTTCTTTCTTTTTTTTTTTTTTCCTTCTTTTTTTCCAGTGCTTGGAAAAGGTGTGCAGACAATTCACATATTATAACTACGTTGACTCGGGCTAGGCGCGGTGGCTCATGCCTGTAATCCCAGCACTTTGGGAGGCTGAGGCAGGCAGATTACTTAAGGTCAGGAGTTCCAGACCAGCCTGGCCAGCATGGCGAAACCCTGTCTCTATTGAAGTACAAAAATTCGCCAGGCAAGGTGGTGTGTGCCTGTAATCCCAGCTACTCGGGAGGCTGAAGCAGGAGAATCGCTTGAACCCAGGAGGCGGAAGTTGCAGTGAGGCGAGAACAGGACAACACACTCCAGCCTGGGCGACAGAGCAAGACTCCATCTCAAATAAATAAAGAAAATAAAAATAAATAAGTAAATACATTGATTTGTTTTCATTCATATATTTTGGGGATACAAGGGAGCTTAAAGTTTGAAAACCAAAACAGAGCTGGCCACTGAAGGTGTGGATTTCCTCAACAGGGTGTGGACTCCAGTAGCCCGTCACTCTTAGACTCCATGTCCCAATTTGAATGTTTCCATGTCACTTAAAAAATGGAAGATTCATAGTGATGTTGAAGATATAAAAGATATACCACGATTAATTTTCTAGTCAGGTACATCAACTTTATGTGTCTGTGACCCCAGACAATAAAAGTAAGTCATTGTTACTTCCTTAGGTGCTGGACAGTTTAGCCCAATATACCACTTTCAATTTTGAATTATAATTTGGACTGTGTCCATGAGATTCTTGGAGTACATTAAATCAACACAGTTGTTTGTAATTATTGAGAACTTTTTGTTACCTATAAGATCAAGTGTAAAGCGATTTAAACTATAAAACGCAAACTGTAGGAACAATTGGTAATCCGCAGTGAAAGTAAATAAAGTCTAAATAGCAAAGAGCAGATTATTCTCAAATTTATGTAATAGAGTTCTTACATGTGGAAGTAGATACAAGTATTAATACACTCAGTTGATGTATTGAAAATAAAATGAAGCTACTCTCTCTATTTTTCTACTTACCACTTGCTTATGAAATCCAAAGGGGTGAATAAGAGCCAGGATTCGTTGTTTTGAGTATAGGGGTGCCCTGGGAAGGCGGCCTCCATCCCACGTGTCGGTGGTGTCATCAGAAATTCCATGATTGTCGGCTTATTCTTTGGACACCTGTCTACAGGGTCCCTCTGCACACTGACTTGGTGTCCTTTAGGATGTAGAAAACCCAAATTAACCTAGTTTAATGAACAAGGAAACCCAGTGGCTCTTAGGACTGTAAGCCCTGTGGTGGGGCCTGCTTCATGGCTGGAGGAGCTAAGTATTCTCTGGTTCACCAAAGTCCCCGGTTCCTTCTGTCTTTCTGCTTTCTGTCACCCACAGCATCAGCTTCGTCCCCGGCTCACTGCCAGTAGTAATCTAGCTGCCCGAAAACTTCTGAAATCCACAGCAAGGTGTTTCCAGAGGACTTCTCAGTAGGGCTGGAACCCCTTCCCCGCAGCCCCAGCAAGGGCCTCCCATGTCACTGCAGTCCCCTGGATAACAAGAAGAGGCCTGAGCTGGCCCTCTGGGAGCACCAGGGGCAGATAACCTCCTGACACGGGAGTCAGTGTTCTCAGAGCAGCATTTGTTGAGCCGAGCTAACCAAGTGCTCTAACAGAGGGCCTGGCGGTGTGGAGCCGCAAATGTCTGTCGTTAGAATAGCTCAAGGACAGGAGAAAAGACGGACAATCGGACCAGAATGGCGTCCCAGGATTTCTGCTCTGAGGAGAAAACAGGACTCAACACCATCTGAGGTCTCTTCCAACTCCAAGATTCTGCAATGTTATCTCTGTTTAAAAAGAGATATCCCACTTTGTGAAGACACAGGATTCACAAAGCATTTACTGAATGCTTACTGTATGCCAGGCCCTTTTCTCAAGTCTGCTTAACCAGGAGTGAAGAAGGCTGACATTACCATCCATGTCACACTCTGGTAGGAGGGGGATACAGTGGACACTATGAGTGTGTGAAATAGGTAGTACTTTAAAGAGTGACAACAACATGGGAAAGGAGGCTATGAAATACTGAGGCAACGGCTGGAGTTTTCATTTTAGATAAATAGATAGCCAGAGAAGCGTTGACTGAGGAAGCAGCCAGCCCTGTAAGAAAGGAGACCCCTGCCATGGCCCTGAGACAAGGGTTTGAGTGATTTCCTCGGGAGGCATTTCCAGGAGGAGAAGGAGGGAGAGGAAACAACAAGGGAAAAGTACAAGAAGGTGTGCTCACCTCTGAATGAGTCCCCGGGGCAACCCGGCTCCACCTGCCCAGGCTCCTCAGAGCACGTGGGGAGCACGTGGAGAGGGAGTGGGGGAGCCGTGGGGGAGTGTGGGCAGAACTTGGGGGAGCCCTGGGGGGGCGTGGGCAACACTTGGGGAGAGCGTGAAGAGCCGTGGGGAGGGCATGGTGGAGCTGTCCGGGAGCCGTAGGGGAGCGCATGGGAGAGCCGTGGGAAGCGCTGAGGGAGGATGCGGTGGCCACGGCTGCCTGGACCCCCAGGCCATGGCCAGGAGACCCTCGGGCAGCGCAGGTGCTGGAGGCAGCGCCATCTATGCTGTGGACGGGTACCCCCAATTGGCAGTGGCCTCGGGGGTGAGCCAGAGGATGGGGTGACTGAGAGGTGACCCATGTGGGGACGGTGGTTTCCAAATAGAGGCGAGATCAGAGCAGGAGCTGGGAACCAAATCAGGTTTTCGGGAGGTGGTTAGACTTTGACGCGGCCTGAGGCTGTGGCACATCTGATCCACTTTCTCACCAACATTGCGGTGGCTTCTTAGTAAGGAACAGGCTGAAAGGGGTAAGGGAAAGGATGGGCAGCGGGGGGGCGGGGGTGGGCACTGGAAAACCACCATTGCCAACATCCAGGCCAGGCAGGGGCGGTGGGGGCGGCAAGGGGGCCCATGGGGCTGGGCCGGGGCACAGGGGACCCCACTCTTGCGGCGGCAGCTGGGAAGAGGGAATTGCCATATTCCCTGGATGTACAACTCTAGGGACAAAAAACTGAGTCATCAGCATATTTACAGCCCTGGAATGGATGAGATGGCTGTGGTGACGGGCAGCAAGGGCGCCTGAGGCCTCAGCACCTGCAGGGTCCAGTGGGAGGTGAGGGCAGTAAGCCAGCAAGCAACCCTTCTCCCTGGGGCAGTGTGAACAGACGGCCGCTGTCGCTGCTCTCAAAACCAAGTGGATGGCCGCTCGGGGTGGTCAGGCCTGTAATCCCAGAACTTTGGGAGGCTGAGGCGGGCAGGTCACCTGAGGTCAGGAGTTCGAGACCAGCTTGGCCAACACGGTGACCACCCCCCGCCCACTACTAAAAATACAAAAATTAGCCAGGTGTGGTGGTGCACACCTGTAATTCCAGCTACTCGGGAGGCTGAGGCAGGAGAACCACTTGAACCCAGGAGGCAGAGGTTTCAGTGAGCCGAGATTGTGCCACTACACTCCAACCTGAGCCACAGAGTAAGACTTTGTCTTTTAAAAAAAAAAAAAGTGCAGAGGTGCTTTACATCTTTACATAGAGGAGAATGGTGTAAGACAACACAGCTATGCGGTCAAACCTATGTGATTGAAACATTTGCAGACAGAGAGAGAGAGAGAAAGAATGGGAGAAGAAAATATGAACTAAAAAACTCTTCTTTCTGTTTGCTTACTTGTGTGTTTGCATTTATGAATGCCAACATGAAATCTTGAACCTTAAATCTAGTATAAAAATATGGAACAGCCAGCTTCCTAGAGTGACGGCACCATTCTGTGTTTGCTGCCGGTGGACCTAGTATGAGTTTTGGGGCCAATATCCTTTTCTGCTAAAACAACTTGGCCTCTTGGAAGGAAAGTTGGACTCTGTTGCCGTGACTCAAACTGTTATTTAGTTTCTTATGATGTCTCCTCATGTTAAAAAAAGAAATGGATGTGGACAATATGGGTTTAAACATAATTTTGAATGAATGAGGGAATTCAGGTAGAGGGTTTCTCATAAGGTAGTTTCAATTGGTTAGATCTTCTAAAGAAACATGTAGGGTTCTCTTAGGAATTGGTTCATTGAATCTAAAGGGCAAAAAATTAAAACACACTTCTGATATATTTGTCAGAGTTACATATAATCATATCTTTCAAGAGCAGATGTGCCAAAGTATACACCACAGAGTGTAGCTGGATGACCCGAAGTGACCATGAAAGTCATGTAACAAAATTCAAAGTTAGTTCCCCACGGGGCTGACATTTCAGACCTACACACAATTCCACAAACAAATGATTGTAAAGTCCCAGACATCACATTCTTGGAGGGATCCAGTACTATTGGCACCGATGCTTTAATCAGAGGGAGGCTCAAACCCACTGGAGTTAAGCTCTCAGAAAGTCTTTGCTCCTTGGTAACTACAAGCAAACCTCCACAGCTGACTCTTTTGGAGTATTTTTTACATTTTTAATCGGATTATTTCTGAATTCTAAAACCACCATTACCACCTTATTCTTGTAACTCTAACTTATTCCTTTGAGTCAATTTTTAAAACTTGATTCACGAGAGTCAAGATTCAGGGTAGGCCGGACAGCCCCTCATTCCTACTCTCAAAGAGCATACACTCAAATAGAGAATGAAACACGTGCCCCAAGTCAGAGACAAATATTATAAGCAAAAGCCAAGGTGTTTTGGGTCAAACACTTGTCGTGGGGTCAGGGAGGTCTTCATGGAGGGGTAACAGTGGAGAAAGACCTTCAAGAATGGGGAAGATTTTCCCAGGAAGAGTTAAGAAGAAAGAGAAAGCAGTTTGTGAGGAGACAGGGAAGTGTAAATGTGAGGGGAGTGAATCTGAGGCCTTCTTGACTCTGGGTGTGACAGCAGAGAGGACCTGCCCATGAGCTTCTGAGATGGAGCCGAAGGTTTCACGGCCCATGTGATAAGGGGCTAGAACACTGAAAGGCAGAATCTGGACTTTATTCAGTAAGAATGGGGAAGTACTGCAGGTCCCTGAGTAGAGAAGTGTGATCCTGCAAGCTGAGTATGGCAATGATTCGTCAGGTGATGTCTCAGAGGTTCTCTGAATGGCACATAAACC